GGGGGGGGCAAAAAGCCACTTCTTCCCTGGAACTAAGTGACAGACATCAACCTTATTTGGTTGGAAGCATAATCTCAAATGATGGGAATTAAAAATTGTACAAACGGAGGGGCTAACATCCCTGGCCCCATGGTCTGGCCCCACCCCTAAGGACTTAATTCCTGGCCAAAACTTTGAAATGCTTTAGGTCACCATTCCATAACCATGTATACAAATGAATAACATCAAGAGACAAACACAATCATGATATTATTAAAATTGATTCTGGGGTCTGGACCCACCGCTAAGGACTTAATTACCTGGCCATGAATTTGAAATGGTTGAAATCCCCACCCCATAGCCATATATGCTACACAGATAAACACAATCATTGTATTAGACTTGACACTGGTGTCTGGCCCCACCCCATCCTGGGCCATAAAATGAACTTTGAAATTGTTGACATCCCATCCCATAATCATATACCATTGCCAGGCATCAAGAGACGAACACAATCATGATATTAGAATTAACCCTTGGGTCTGGCCCTACATATATATATGGACTTCATTCTTGGGTTATAACTTTGAAATGGTTGATACCCTACCCCATAACCATATACCATTGCTGGGCATCAAAAAGACTACTCTACCCCATAACCATATACCATTGCTGGGTATTAAAAAGACTAACACATTCTTGGGTTTATAACTCTGAACAGCTTAAAAAACTGATATTATATAAATATGACAGGTGACAGTGAATATTGTCAACCCGAAAAACCATACCGAGGGTGACAATGGGTTTTTGAGGGTTTACAATATTCACTGTCACCTGCTAATGAATGTCATATCTATTTTGTTACACCAAAAGTCTTTGTAGCTTGGAAACGGCAGCAAACCTCGATAATGACATCTTGTTTGTTGATAGTCTGCTGTTTATAATCGCTATCACACCGGCGCTTGATGAAATTGGCTGTTGCCGTCAAACGTTCTTGTGACCATCACGGTGGGGAAATGAAGCGGTGCACACACATTTTTTGCGCATTTGATATTTTTCACTGTCTCATGGCAATATCACCCGCACCCCTTAAAACCAATGTATTTTTGGAGGGTGACAGAGATTTTTGTTTAATTTTCTCCCAACCAATCAAATAGTTAGAAATTCACTTGAGGTGTAACAAAATATATTGTCAGATGACTAGTATATTTTATAAGTATCCTCATGTTATCGGTTTCCGTGCACTTAAGAAGCAGCCGCGAGTACATAGTCATATCGGTAGAAAATTGTTGAAATTACGGATAACTGTTACATATACATACAGTGTATGTGTAAAATCTACTTATGGAAACAAAAACAATAGCAAAGTTTTTTCAACAAACTTCATCTGCAAGTATACGAAGCTATGCCTCAAATTTGATTCAGTGTTCAAAAAGAGACAACTCAAATACACTAAAAACAAGTTCTCTATAGTGGCCCGCACAAACAAATATTCCGCTGGGTATTTCAAGTATGATCTTTGATTGTCAAGTTATATAGATTATTGAACCAAATTTTTCAAAATTGCGTATTTTTTATATTTGATTTTCAATGTCAACTTTAACGAATTCATATCATTTAATAAATACATTTATTTTGATATACATGTAATAGAACATGGTATTATACTTTTTGAATAGTCTGATAACAGTAATGTTTGATTGTAAGCTATTTTTCATTCTTTCCCATTTAAAATTGATGAAAATTGGAAGTTCACAGTCAAACGAGATTTATCTTTCTTTTCGGACAGCTAGTGTTTACTGATATGTGAACGTCTCCTTCTCTTTTCGGAAATGGAAAATAATTGGCAAGGTTATGTGACCTCATTTGCATACGACACTCAATACGTTTGACATATATCACTGTTTCTCATGTGTGGGTTTATTTTCAGCGAGACAAAAAGTGTATTGAACAAAATGCACATTTATCCATGTTTTTTAATCAGTTTGACAGTTATAAATTGTTACATTTTTCCAATGAACTTCTGGTAAATTTTTAGTCAGTTTACAATCTGATAAAAACCTGAGATCTTTAATTCCACTCCAACCAATTTGACTGGAACATAGAGTATCGGAGTGGAATTATAGATCTGGTTTTAATAAGATTTAGTCAGTTAACAGACGATGGCCAAAAATGTCTTCAATATCCTTGTGTAGTGCACATGTCAAGCAGGTTACATTATAATTATTAAATTAACGAGATACAGCTTGATAAAATGGCAGTGCACAAATATATAACGCACGGAAATATATGACTAAGATAGATGATAATCTATTTAACTTGTCCTGTGGATGAACAAGTAAAATTAGGATGTCTAATTAGAAGCTATATATCCTAGCTGCTAACGGGCGTGGAAACCGATGACACGATAAAATAAAGCTACATGACATTGTGTAATTGAGGTGATTATACAATGACTTCGCTAAGGGTCGAATTATTGTTACCTTTTCTCTGTCGATCCCTTTTGGTTTTACATCATCATCGTTATCATCGTCGTCGTCATCATCATCATCATCATCATCAGGAGAGTCATCAGAATCACTAATTTCTCCGTCAATAATTTCCTCATTGTCCTTGACTTCTCTCTTTCTCTTTATCGATGGCCCTGACTTGTGTCTTTTTTGTATAAATGTTATGTTAGCATTACTGGGTCTTACGAGACCATTTGCGTTATTCAGGCCGACTTGTGAAAGAGCACAGATAATGGTAGGAAACAGGGACCTAATATGTTGACGTCCATATCTTTCAACTATGTTGTCATTCCCCAGTGAAGATGGGGGGACATTGTTAATTAAGCCATGATTACTTTGAAATCGAATGATTGAAAGGCATTCAAGACCACATCTAAAACTCACAGCAACATGATGTCGACAAATAGAACGAATAACAAGCATGACATTACCCTCCTTCTTCGCGTCAATCACGACCGGCACCCAATATAAGCCTAATTTCAAGTTAGTTTCGTATAAATTTGGAGGCAAGACAGTTTTACGGCATTTTAGAAATTAGGCAATACAGTGTTACTTATTTTATCTTTATTTAAGAATTAACTTGAATATATGTTTTTGAGATATAACACAAAAAAAACCAGGGACTCCAGTGTAAGAACGTCAAAGCGGTTTATGATGAGAGTACACTCCGGTCTTTTGTGTTATAGCTCCATAACATAAAAATATCTTCAAGTTCATCCTTATATTTTAATTTATTATACACAATCCCTATGGAAATCCACTTTTATTGATGGACTCTTTTCTCTTAGAAATTGTTACGCCGCTGTATCAGTATAGGTCATGCGAGTTCAACCAACAGTGTCATTTCTGGGCTTGTATTATGTAGCTGTTAGCATCATAATGTCACATCACCAACTGAATGATGGCCGTGGTGGACAAGATAAAGATCGTCGTTGTGGGAGACTCTGGTCGGTAAACATTGGGTGGTGCGCTATAACGTTAAGTACTTACGAACAGCACAGATCAGGGGCCTGTTCGTTTATAAATGTAACAATTTCGGGTATAAATCCTGGCGGACCTGCAAATGTTTATGCAGGCATTGCAAGACTTTGTCAAGGCTCCTCCACAGGGGCAGGTTACAAACAATAAGAATAATATATATGAAATGGGAAGCCAGCTGTATTACATGCTGGCTCCCCATTTCATATATATTATTCTTATTGTTTGTAACCTGCCCCTGTGGCTCGTCTGAAAGCAGCATCAGATTAACAGGTCCGATATATCATGATAACTCTCGTCTATCTTCTCTTTATTCTTATATTCAATCCACTTCAGACCCTCTCCATATGCTTCTTTCCCGAATACCTGTCTTACCTGGAAAGGGCGTTAATAATGTTCATGTAACTTGTGCCCAATCCTCTTGCATTTTTTGGCAATAAAATATATTTAAACTAAAACCTGTCTTATCCTGACCTCTATGACCCGTGTGACCCCACCCCCTCTGTTATTGCTGAGTGTGTAAACGTGTACACCTTAATACCGATCGCCGTCAAACAACAGTGTTAGTTTTTGACGACTATGTAATGATATAATGTCATATAGGGCGGCAATCGGAAGTTTCTACCATCGTACACACGGTGTTCTGGTAAATAGTCATTATACTTTTGATTTTAATCTCCAACTAGGTAAGTGTAGGCAAGGTGTAATATATGTGTTGTCGAAATGAAGACACACACCATTTCTTTTTTACCTGTGATATATATAACGAACAAAGAATTAAGCTTTATCGTGAACTGAATGAATACATGCCTCTTAATTTAAATCTACTTCTATTTGGAGATACATCTCTTTCGGAACAGGAAAACATAACGATATTCATGCATACTCAGCAATACATTCGTGACTCTTAACAGATTCTAGTACCCCCCCCCCTTGTCCCCTCTCTCTCCCTCTCTCTCAATTGAACCATAATATCCACTCTCTCTAAGAGGAAGATACTATGTCATACATTAATAATGATGAGGATTTATGTATTATGATTACAGACTATTATCCCCCCTGTCTCTTCCCCCTCCCCCCCTTTTTATACGCCCGTCGAAGACGGGGACGTATTATGTTATCACTGTTATCACGTGAGCGGGCGGGCAAACGATGTCCGCTCGTTATCTCGAGTAATTATTAACGGATTAACTTCAAACTTCACAACAAGGTTAATTACCATGAAACCTCGGACAAGTTCGATAACCGCCATTA